GAGAAGTTAGAGGGTTGATATGTTGTGGGGTTGTTAACCAATGTCATAAAACAACATGTGTACTACTGTTTCATGAGAAACTATTTGTTCTGTAAGCCTTTACCTGAAGTACAACAAAAAAATAAATAAATAAAAAAGTACTACATAATGGAGATATTAGGTACAAAATGCTGAGAGAGAACAACCATGTGCCTGGAAGAAGTGGGGAGAATTCCAAACAGAAGGTGACAAGTGTATTTAATCATGAAGAATAATTAGAAGATTATGGGTAAATGAGGGAAAGTAAGGTATTCAGGCAAATGAGGTGACATGTATAAAACGATAAAAACATGAAAGCATATGGTGCATATATAATCAAATGCAAGAAACTGTGTGAATGGAAAATAGAGGGAATGTAAACTTCATCCTGTAAGCAACATGATACCAACTAAAGTTTTCGTAACGGCGGACTGATGTTATCAGACTTGAATTTTAGGACCATAATCCTGGCAGTGCTACAGTGAACAGATGACCAGTACGCACTGGTTGTAGGTTGATCAGTCAGAAAGCTTTGTAATAAAGCAAATGAGAGCTTATGAGGGTCTACACAAAGGCAGAGCACTGGGGTAAATATGAACTGAAAAATTTGAGGCACACTCCACAGGACTTTGTAACTAGTAGGATACGGGAAATGAGAATGTCTTTAGTTCAGGAGACTGAATCAATAGTGACTTCATTGGATCAGAAGAGTGTGGGTTGGAAGAGATAATGAGTTGGATTTCTAACATGCTTACAGGATCCTTCAGGATATCCAGGTAGAGGTGTTCATGGTATGTGGTTACTGAAAATACAGGATTGGAAGCTGGTGACACAAATTTGGGAGTCATCCCCATATAGATAGCAGTTAGAGTCTACATAACATCACTCAGCAAGAACATGCATAATGAACAGAAGAAACAAATGAGGTAGAACACAAGGGAATACCAAAACATAAGGGATGAGCAATGGTGTCTCTCCTCTTAACTAAGGCTAATCACTCCACTTGGGCTCCCTCCTATACTTTCAGGAACCTTATTCTATAAATTATCCCACTTCTCTCTTCTACTGTACCCTTTCCCTCCTATCTGAACCCTTCCCATAGGCATATAAGCATGCTTTAATCTTAAAAAAAAAAATTGTTTTCTGAATGACACAACTATTTCTAGCTACCACCCTTCATTAGCTAAGTGTCTTAAAAGACTTAACCTATACTTACATCTCAGTTCCTCAGCTCTCCCTCTCTCCTCTATTACAACCTGGCTTCTGACTCAATCACTACCTGAAATGCTGTTGTTGTTAGATGCTGCTGAGTTGGCTCCCAATTCATGGCGACCCCATGCATAATGGTCTGTTCAAAATGCTGCCCAGTCCTGCACCATCCCATGATCAGTTGAGGAACAGACCATTGTGATACATAGGGTTTTCACTGATTGATTTTTGAAAGTAGATAGCCAGGCCCTTCTTCTAGTCCATCTTAGTCTGAAAGCTTTACTGAAACCTGTTCCATAGCATAGGTATGTGCAAGCCTTCACTGACAGACAGGTGATGGCTGTGCATGAGGTGTGTTGGCTGGAAATCAAACCCAGGTTTCCCGCTTGGAAGGTGAGCAATAGGTCTCCATAAAGTCACAAATGACCTTCACAGCACTAATTAAATGACTGATTTTCAGTCCTCATTCTGGTCTCAAAAAAGCCCAACTTTTTTGACTACTCCCTCTTGGGAAACATTCTCTTTCCTTGTTTTCAGGGATACCACATGTCCCTGATTTTCATCTTACCTTTGTGTATGTACTTTCTTAGATGAGTTTTTGGGTGCTTCTCTTCTACTTGGCCATTAAGTTTTAGGGTTCCTCACAACTTAACCTTGGGGCTTTTTCTTAGTTTCTATCTCTCTTTAAGTGACTACAACAATATGATCTCTTCGATTTTAACCTGTATGTGAATAATATACAAAAACTTATACCTTCAGCTCATATTTCTCTGAGTCCCAAATCTGTACATCACACCGCCTGTTCAACATCTCTACTTCTGTATCTTAAAAGCACCTCAAACTCAAAATGTACAAAAGAAAACTCACATTCATAACTCCACCTGAACCTGGCTCTCTTTCAGTGTTTTCTATATAAGTGGATCATGCCATTATAAATGAATGCATTTCTAGAAGCCAGAATCCCAGGAATTATTTCCGAAACTTCCTTCTCCCTGACGTTTCTACAGCCAAGACATCATCAAGCCCTGCCATCTTAATCTCTCAAATCTGCTCACCTCTCTTCATATGAACTGTCACCACCAAGACTCCTATGACAGCCTCCAACATCTCTCTTCTTACAAACTGTTTACTTCACTCAAGAGAGTGATCTTCTCAAAACTTAAATGTGATGCCACATTCCTACTTAAAATTATCAATGGCATCTATTATAGTTATGACAAAATTAAAATCCTTACCTTGGTCTACCTTATTCACCACTATAGTTTTATCTCACATTAATCACCCTTTCAATTTCTGCATCTCAGTTATGCTGCAAGTATTTCACTTTCTGTAATTCATCATGCTCCCATGTCCCCTCTCACCACTGGTCTTACAAATGTGCTTCCCTCTGTCTGCAATGCTCTTTTCCCGTCTTCTATGAACACCCTCAAATTGTGCCTATTTATTTCCTGCTCATTCTTTGGATATGGCTTCAATATCACTCCCTCAGGGAACCTTTCCTTTTTTTTTAAATTTTACTCTGTTTTAGATGAAAGTTTATAGCACAAATTAGTTTCTCATTCAAAACTTATACACAAATTGTTTCGTGACATTGTTTGCAATCCCCGCAATGTGTCAGCACTCTCCGGCTTTCTCTTTCTACCCTAGGTTCTCTGTGTCCATTCATCCAGTTTTCCTATCCCTTTCTGCCTTCTCGCCTTTGCTTTGGGCAGGGTTGCCCATTTGGTCTCATATACTTGATTGAACTAAGAAGCACATTCCTTCCATGTGTTATTGTTTGTTTTATAGGCCTGTCTAATCTTTGGCTGAAAGATGGACTTTAGGAGTGGCTTCAGTTCTGGTTAGTACAGTGTCTGGAGGCCAGGGGAATGTTTTTTGACCCCTAAAAACTAACAGACTCTATTTTTATAAGCTATTAGAGCACTAGTCACTATTTCTTTATTACATCTATCATAGTTTACAATTCTACATTATTTTGTGACCATTTGACTAATGTCAAACCCCATAAAGGCTACCACAGTGCCTAGTATATAGTAGGTGCTCAATAAATATGTTAACAAAATAATTAAGGAGAAAAATATTCATGAAAGATAAAGGTGATTCAGAAAAGAGTGGTGATCCAGAACTTAAGAGAGAAAAGAACTCAGATAAGGCAAAAGTGATCAGGAAGAACAGAATAACATGCTATTAAAAAATGGCCAAGTATAAGAACCATCTACATGGCATCAAACTGACAACAGCAACTCAAAATATTAAACAGGACACTTAGGGGGCAGTGAGTTTATGTTAATGGAGGAAAAACAACTTAGAAAAGAAGGGCAAGAACAGCTGTACAACTCGAAGAATGTAATCAATGTCACTGAATTGTACATGTAGAAACTGTTGAACTGGTACATGTTTTGCTGTGTATATTCTCAATGACAACAAAATAAAATAAAATAAAAAACACATTCCAATTAAAAAGCAAATAAAAAAAAAAGGTCAAGTATGATGAGTAATGAAAATAGGTCACCGGGTGTGGAATAAAGAAGATTATGAATGTTCTTAGTGCAAAGAGTTTTCATGGAGTGACTGGGGGGAAAAGTCCAGCTGCTCTGGGTTAAGACACTCACATGAAGAGTGAATAGAAAGAGTAAGGGCAAATTATCCTTTAAAGATGGTTTTCTGAAAGCTTTTTAGCAGCATTTACCTTTTGATATCTCTATGAATATGATGGTTTTCGTGTAAAAAACTGATGCCATTAGCTGCACCTTGTGCAATCTTGCATCTCATGTGCCAAGAAAGTGGTGGAGTACCATCCTTAGGAAGAAACAAACAGGTCAATTGAAAAAAGAGAAAAAAAAAATCTATGGAAAATATATAATCCAAAATATTTTTCTAGGTAACAACTGAAAACAGTATTGCAGTGAAACTTGTGAGAACTGGAACTCAGCAGGACTGCCTTGTTTTTCCGGGTCTCACAAGTTTTTTGCCTTTGACAGCGTGCAATCTTACCACTTTTCTATAGCTCGTTTTAGTGGAAAATATTTTAGTTTTCCTTCTCTGACAGGTTTCCACCTTATACAGACTCCTGCTTTCATAGATTTTACTGTATATTGGTAATTAAGGAGCCCTGATGGCGCAGTGGTTAAGAACTCATCTGCTAACCAAAAGGTTGGCAGTTTGAATCCACCAGCCACTCTGTGGAAATCCTATGGGGCAGTTTTACTTTGTCCTATAGGATCACTATGAGTTGGAATCAACTCGATGGTTAACAGGTTTGGTTTTGGGTTTTTTGCTAATTAAGAGTTTAGGATTATAGTTCTTTAAAAGTTGTTAGCAAATAATCTCTAAATAAGATCAAATAGGGGGTTCCAAACCAAACCCACTGCTCTCAAGTCGATTCCAACTCATAGCGACTCCATAGGGTTTCCAAGGTTGTAAATCTCTATGGAAACAGACTGCCACATCTTTCTCCCGAGGAGCCACTGGTGGTTTAGAACCACCAACCATTCGGTTAGCAGTTGATCGCTTTAACTGCTGCGCCTCAAGGGCTCCTTAAATAGGGGGTTAGCACTTCTTGTTTACAGATTAAAATATGTAAGAGCATCTTCAAAGTCTAGCCTTGACTAATAATTTTGCATCTTAGATTCTCACCTAAGAGAATGGAAATCTCAGCTGTTTATACATCAACTGTATAGTTTTCACAGAGAAGGGAAAATATAAATGTAATGCACTTTAAATGATTCCATCACAAACTGAGTATTAGTATTTTGACACAGAAACAGAAAGCCAAACAATTTGATGGACAAACATCTTACCAGGCAAGACAGTCTGTCAAGCAATGAACCATTGGGCATGTAAACATATACTAAGCAGAGATCATCTCCATCACTAGAGAAACCAAGCAGTTCTACTAAGTTTTCATGTTGACACCTGTGACAAATAATTTTCACAATTAAACTTACCACCCAAAATTGTTCTAATACACACTTACATACTCAGTTGTAGGTGGAAAATTATTTACTTTAAATCTTTAACAGAAAAAGAGAGTAAGAAAATCATGGTATGCTATGTATCACTACTATTATGATATATATTTATGTTTATTATAATTGTTTATAATATTACTGTAAACAGTCCTCTTTTCATGCAATACTGATTGAAAATAGAAGCAAAATAGGAAAATATTTTATAGTAAAAGTTCAGTAATTCAGATCATTGGAATTTGTGATAGTTTGGTGAAGGACTAGGCTGTTGTTTACATTTGCTTATCACAATTTTCAATATCACAAACAAGATTTCAAGAAGTCTTTTATGAAAACACTTTCAAGTGTTTTGACTCCAACATGTCAGAAGCACTAATTTGCAGACATCTGATCTTTAATTATACCTAATTTACACGTTTCTGATCTTTAATCACATCTCATCACTTATATAACTTAATTTGAGCTTCTTTATATACTTGAGAGTAATAAAGCTAAAGAGAGCTGTAGTATAACAAAACTGTAGGCATCAGTGATATACAGCAGAAAGTAAACTGGGCTCAGAGTACAAAGTCCTAAGTTTAAAGTCCAGCTCTGCCACCTCCTGGATATCTGACCTATGGCAAGTTAACAATTTTCACCGAGCCTCTTTACCTGCTAAATGGGGATAATACCTATAATGTCACACAGATGCTGTGAGAATTAAATAAGCAAATACATGTGAGAGCCTAGAAATACTACTAGTACATGAAAAGTGTTCATCCAAGCGCCTATTCATTGTTCATTCAAAATGATCTACAATTTTAACTTTTCATTATATCAAACCAGACTTCCTCTGTTGTGTGCTGTCGCATCAATTCTGATTCATAGTGACCCTACAGGACAGAGTAGAACTGTCCCATAGAGTTTCCAAGGCTGTAATCTTTACAGAAGCAGATAGCCACATCTTTCTCTGTGGAGAGGCTGGTGGGTTCAAACTGTTGACCTTCTGGATAGCAGCTTAACCACTGTACTACCAGGGCTCCAAAGCTTCCTCTACCCTCATAAATATTTTAAGATGTACAACTTAAAACAATAAGTGCTCCACTTTCCACCAAACTGGCACATTTTTAAAATGATGAGTTAACATTTGCTGAGTTTATACTATATGCAAGGCACTGTGGTCAGTGATTGACCTGCTTTGTTTTATTTAATCCTCACAATAACTTAATGAAGTTAGTACTATCGTTTTACAGATGAGAAAACACATGACTTGTGTTACAAAACTTAGCCAAGGTCATTCTGCTAGTAAGGGCCATAGAGTGGTGGCGCTTATTAGAAAATAATAATACCCAATGGTGGTGGGGTAGCAGTGAAGCCTGAAACTACTGGCAGGAATACAAACAATCATAACCTACCCATAAAGCCATCTGGACACATACTGCAAAAGTCTTTAAAAAAGTTCATGCACTCTGACCCAGTAATTCTAGGATTCTATCCTAATGAAATAAGCAGAGTTGCATTTAAAAAGTTATGTACAAAGGTGTTCAAAGGAGCTTCAATTTGTGATAACTGAATACTAGAAACAAACTTAACAGGGTAATAGTTAAATAAAATATGGTACCTATGCTAGAATGTAATATAATAATTTAAAGTATTTTCAGATTATTTTTAATGACATGGGAAAAATGCTATAAACACATCATGAAGCAATACAGCAAAATATTAGCAATGGTTATCTCTGGGTGATATATTTAAGAGATAATTTTTATTATTTTAAAAATATTTTCCTGTATTTCCTAGATTATCTACTTTGAACATGTTACTTTTAGGACTGGAGAGTGGGGAGTAGAGGTGGGCGAACAAATCCTGAAAAAAAAAAGGAATTTTGATTTTTTTCCCCAGGGTGCTTTATTTTCACTGTATCAATCCCAGTATATTATTTATTTCTTGAGGTTTAGCAATTAGCAAGGAGTCTAATGCGTATAAATTAGTTTTAAAGAGTTAGGCCTATTATGATTCAGACCAAAAGCTCAGGCTCTGGAATCAGACAGATCTGGGACTGAATCCCAGCTCTAATACATAGTGGCTTAGGGTTTTTCATTGGCTGATTTTCAGAAGTACAATGCCAGGCTTTTCCTCCTAGTTCATCTTAGTCTGGAATCTCCAGTGAAACCTGTTCAGCATCATGGCAACATGCAAGCCACCACTGACAGATGGGTGGTGGCTGTGCATGAGGTGCATAGGCTGGGAATTGAACGCAGGTCTCCCTCCTGGAGGGTGAGAATTCTAATACTGAACTACCACTGCCCCCTTATCTTACATCTAAGGGCCTATTATTCTACAGTTTTGTTTTTTTGCCTTTTTTTTTAATATCTCACAATCTATTTCTCATAAATTCTGGTAACAGAAAACATGATAATGGAAAGCAATAAAGGAGTTGAAATTCCATGTAACTTTGCTGTGACTTAAAACATGACTGCTGTTTAATCTATACACATGGGCATATATATAGTCATAGAATTGTACAGCAAAAAAGTACTTTCATCTCCTCTATGCTAAACCCTTTATTTTCATTTTTATATCTGAAAATATCACTAGTTCATGGCACACTTTGGGTAAGAAATGTCTTGTCCTGTTCTTTTCCACTATACCACACTGCCAAATTAACACTTACTTTGCCATTACTTTTATTTCTTGATCAAACTGTTGTTTCAGTTCTTCAGTACTAATGTCGACCATCTGAAAAAATACAATACAATACCATTAAATAATTCCATGTCTCCTAACGCGGGAAGCGAGCTCAAGAGATTGGGCGACTGATCTCTCTTTAAAACAGAAAGCCATTATTCTTCCCGCTTCATAGAACTGAGATCTAGAAAAATTAGTGATTTGCTTAAGGTCCCACACCTGATTAGTGGGAGGAAAGAACCACGTAAGCCTGAGTTGTTGTGGGAATAAAATGAAATAATATATGAGACTTCACTGCATTAACATTTTGGGAAAAAAAACTGTGTAACAGAAAACATAAGCAAATTTGAAAAAAAAAAATCTGCAAAGTATTTGCAACATATATGACAAAGGTGACTATCTTTATCATATAAATATTATATTTATTTTTCAGAACATAACAACAGATTTGTTGTTGTTGTTAGGTGTCGTCATGTCGATTTCGACTCACAACTCCATGTGACAGAATAGAACTGCCCCATAGCGTTTTCTAGGCTATAATCTTTATGGACTCAGAGTGATCCTATATGACAGAGTAGAACTGCCCCACAGGGTTTCCTAGGCTGTAATCTTTACGGGAGTTGACCGTCAGGTCTTTTTTTCCGTGGAGCAGCTGAGTGGGTTCGAACTGCCAACCTTTTGGTTAGCAGCTGAGCACTTAACCACTGTACCACCAGGGCTCCTTACAACGGATTTAAAATATAACAATAAGTAAATAAAACTGTGAACAGCCTAACAGAAACAGAAACAAAATACACAGACAAGAAAATTTTCTCTTTTTTCTTAATCTATAGTTTCTAAACTTTATTTTTAAATGATAAAGGTAATGTAAGGAAAGTTATTTTTCAGATATTTTTCTTAATGTTACCATTTTCATCTTTATTATGTATGAAACGCAGTGTAGAGCTGGGCTTCTCAACTTTATTTAGTGAATCCCCAAAAAGTTTCATATATATATATATACACACACACACATATACATACACAACTAACTTTTTTATATACACGTGTATTTTTCTAGGGGTAGGGTCTATAGCTTCCAACAGATTTTTAAATTAAGAGCAACCAACTTAGAAGAAAGTTTTCTTAAAGAAAATAAATACACAGTGAAATAATAATATTTGCTAAAGATTCATTTAAAGTTTATCATATAGCATGCTAGGATGCAGTTCTCCCTTTAATCCTTTTTATTCCTGAAACTTTTACTTACCGCTGCGAGCTTCTTCACCGCCACAGTTCTGTTGTTCACGTAGCCTTTATACACAACTCCAAATCCTCCCTCTCCCATTTTATTACCACCAGCAGAAAGGGGTCGCTCATCAAAGTTATTTGTGACACTCTTCAATTCAAAAAATGAAAAACTGTGAAAACCTATGTCAATAAAATAAGGGAAAAAGTGCGGGGATAAAAAAGAAACTGGTTTCAATAATTTCAATATTTTCTCAATTTAAAGGTTTAACACATATGCAAATATTTACAGTTTTTGATTAGGCAACATGGGAGGGAAAACCATTTTTTAAATACAAATGGTAAGCTCTATCTTGAGGATTCCATTTGGTTCTTTGCTGATTCCAATAGAAAGAAAAACAATGTCATCCTCCACCCAAACCTTTATTCATATATTTTCTTTAAAAAAAGACCCTGTCAAGTCATATATTTACTTATTTTTTCATAGCTTCTGTGGTTGTTTCCATGTCCTACTGCCTCTACTCACTGACAATTCACTAATATAATGTAAACTGTGCTTAATAAATCAGGAGAAAAAACACAAGCACTGTGCTTCTGACTACTGTTAAATAAAATAAAAGGAAAGGTTTATTTTAAAGCAACGATGGAATTAATGAAAAATTCACTAGTGGAAAGCACTAAAATGTTACTTACGTGTATCACTAACTTCTAAACTTTCATTTTCTGCACTTGAGGAGTCAGGTGGCATATAGTTTAGTTCAAGATTCTGCACTGGTGTCACAGATGTCCTGTCTTTGCCATAGACAGGCAACTGTTTCTGTTGAACTGTTATAGCTTCTTGAGAAGGTAGTGTGTTCACAGTTTTGGGAACAGCATCTGCCAAATGAAATATATCAGTTGTCCTTCAACAAGAAAAAGTGTTCATAAAAAAGTTAAACCAGGAACTTGGTTCATTTAACATCATCCCACTTTCCATATGTGGGCTCCATATTCTCACAGAACACACTGGAAGCTACCCAGTAAGGATTTGAAGGCTGTGATAAAGATGAGTAGAGTGTAACGCAGTGTTTTCAAAGAGTGTTCCATGAACTACCTGCATCAGAAGCACGGAGGACTTGTCTAAGAATACAGACCTTGAACCCAACTCCAGAATTCTGATTCATCAGCTCTGGAATAGAGCCCAGGAACCTACATGTTTAACAAGAGCTCCAGGTTACGCTTATGCACACTAAAGGCTGATAACCACTGGTGTAAATAGCATCAAAGGAAAAAAGTAAGGCTGTGAGGAAGACAACTGGACACACAAACACAGCGAAATATAATGTAAGAAAATCATGATCTTAATGTCTCATCAGGAGCTAATTTCCTATAGCCGAAACTAGGTTTCTGAAGTCTATATCCTTTCCAGCTTCCTATTGGTACAAAACGACAAGACTTTATGGTGGCATCAGACTCCATGATGAAGCCTCCACCACCAGGGCAGCAGAGTCTGCAGTGTCCTATGTCTGGGGTGCTTGTTAGAGGATTGGGGAGAGTTGATAGAATGAAAAGGACTGTATGAATGAAAGTAAGGTTCACCTACTATGAGAAAAAAGTAACAGTAAGAAGAAATGTTACTGTTTCTGCCATTTGTCTTTCCGCCCTAATTGTTGACACCCTGGTCACACTCAGTTTACCTGGTAGCAAAAGACTTGCAGGGGCAAGAAACTCATTTTGCACCAAAAGATCCACAAGATCACCAACTGTGCAATTTGTGGTGCCCCAGTCAAACAGTAACTCACAAGTGGGACTTTTTCCAGCCTGAAGTAATGCTTCAAATCTCCTTAAAGGCAAGTAATAAAGAAACAAAAATTAGTATATAAATAGAGTTAATATGAAAATAGGAATTATTCCTCCCTGCCCCTCTTACCCCACCACCTATAATATTAAAGAAAAAGGCAGCAAGAGAGACAGTGAGAATTACAAAGAGACAGGAAAGACAGGTAGAAGGAAAAAAGATGCAGAGGATGATGATAATAAAACTTAACATTTACTGTATACTTAACTGAGTACTTAGCAAGTTAAGGGATGCACACGCATGAACTCATTTAATTCTCAAAGATACTACAATTATCATTGCTATTTTACTAATGAGAAAGCCAGGCCTGGAAAGGTAAAGTAACCAGACCATGGTCACACAGCCAATAAGCTATATCCAAGTTGATATTTGAATTCAAATCTCACTTGATATAAAGGTGCGCTCTCAAGCTATGTTACTTCCCTATATGACTTATTAATTCTGTTAGTTATGTGAATTTTAATAAATCAGCCTGCTTAAAGAAATAGAATATATATAAACCTAGGGAATTATTCCTTTGATCTTAACTATACTTCAATTAAATTGAAGGAAAAAGATAAGTTTTTCTCTCCCATTTCTTCAAAAATTGGTTTTGAGAAGTAACATTTAAAAATATAACCAGTAAGTTTCTCTTTTTCCTTCAAATTTTTTTTGAAAAATTTCAAACATATAGAAAAGTTGAAAGAATAATACAATGAACAAAGATTTACTCCCCCCAGATTCACTAAATGACTAATTGGTAACATTTTGGTACATTTGTGCTCTCATCCCCTTGCCTGCTCTCACTGTGTGTGTGTCTGTATTTTAGAGTCCAGGCCAGATGTCTTGCAGAATGTCTCACAATCTAAATTTGTCTTTTTTCTCATGATTAAATTCAGGTTAGTATTCTTTAGTAAGAACACTGCATAGGCAATAGTGTGTGCTTCCCACTGTATCACATCCAGAGGCACATAATGGCAGTTTGTACCATTATTGGTGACGTTAAGTTTAAGAACAAACTACTTTGTCCCTTTCATAATTCATAAGTTATCTGTGGGTAACACTTTGAAATCTTGTGAATACCTTGTTCTTCAACAACTTTCACCTTACGGTTTTAGCACTCACTGATGAGTCTCCCATGGATCAATTTTCACTGGTGATTGCCAACTGGTAACTTTCTAATTCTATTCTTCTTTCAACGATTGTTTGCCGGCATTCTTCTGTAAAGAAGAGTTTTCCTCCTCACCATCAATGTCCCAACCACCCTCCATAATTTTTTAATAGTAATCTTAACAAACTATATTTAATAATTGGCTTTTGAGGGTTAAACTTGGGTTTCTTCCAAGTAATTTAAGAAGTTCACCCTTCAAATGAGGCAACACTTCCAGGAAGAACTGTGTAATAAGGCAGCCAAGCCTTTAGGTTCTTTAGCAGGTTAATGTTGAAAATCACAAATAAATTTCTTTTCCTCTTGCTACCAAAGCCAGATTTGACATAGATTTGAGCTGCGATGACTGACAAAAATAAAATCTGTACTTACATTTTACATTAACCAAGTAGAAATGAGTAGAGAGAAAGAATGGAAATCATCTGAAGACAGTATTGAACAACCCAGGCTAAGGACTAAAAATTTTGTTCATAGATGTATACATTTACAAGCAACAACTTTAAAATGTCAATTTGAAAAATTACCAAAGTATGTTGTTAGAGTGGGTTAGAGATTTATACATTTAGATGTATAGGCTCCAGAATTTTACTAGAGATTTTTATAACATTCTTATGTTACTGCAATCTGGAAATGAGAAGCGTGAGGCAGAATGAACTGTACCAACAGTTGAACTTGCCAAACAGAGAACCTGAGTGAAGGTGGGAATCCTAATTCTAGCACAAAAAAACTTATTTGCAAGACCACAGCCCAGCTGTAATATTAGAGAATGAAGCAAAAATTAAAAGAAAAAAAAAGGTAGAGATTACTTATTACCCTTATCTCCACTGGAGATAACTTTAAACTGCAACATTGGACAGTATTTATACCTATTAATCATTCTAGATTGTGATATATGAATTAATTTTTTTATATGTTACCTTATGTGAAACTGATTGTATCTATCATCACCAGATGGTTTTTTAATAGCTACAGCTAACTTCTTCCATCCTTCTTGAGGATCAATAAAATCTGACAACTTTCTAATTAGTCCAACATTGAGGCAGCGCACGTATGTTGATGGAGTTATGGGTTTGCTCATCTTCTATTCCTAAAATATTGAAAAATGTCATTAACCTTTTACAGTAGCTTCAGAGATGATTATCTGTACACTTATACATCACACTTTACTATATCATGTGAAAAGTTGGCACTCTATTACAGCACAATAAAGGAACATTTCAAAGTCAACTAGTTGATATCCTAAAAAGATATTATGGTTTATTTGTATAATTGTCCTCTGAGTTTGGTTTCTTTCCCCAACTATAAACATCAATAAAAAATGAAGAACTCTTTTTCTGACACTGACATTTTTCTGAGTGAAATTTACATAAAGGAGCAAAAAGTTTACTCTTTCAGAAAAATTCCTGTGGGCATATTCAAAAATCAAACATATTAATAAGAGATTTACTTTCCAGGATATGAGCTCAATCAGTACTTATTTACTATTAAAAATTTATTCAACTCTCTTGGGTAGAGGTAAAAAAAAATGTACTGACATCATTTGTATGGAACTGAAAGATATGGTCACTCCATTTACTTTCACTGAGTAAGGTCATTCTTGACGCCTCTGCATTTTTTGAGTCCATCTGATCCACCTGACCACAATTCCTTCCCTAGTAAGCTGAACCCTGCGATTCACCATTTCAACTACTCTCCAGTCAGAACCTTCGATTTCCTTAGTCCCCTCCCTTCTTTTCCGGCTAGGGACAGATTACCCAGTAAGCAAGGTACACACAGGCCCAATTGTGCCTTCTCACTAATCTGCAGTGCACAATTTCACCTGTCCCCCACCACAGCAAAGATGTTGTGAAATCCATGTGAATTTGCTCACCACAGATGGGCAATACAATTAAGCCTGTGCATACCTTGCTCAGTGCATACTGTGCTTACTGGTTAATCCACCCGTCTGCCACTCTACCCTGCAGAGCCACAGCCAGGGATAAATCTCAGAATTTAACTGTACACCAGAGGTACTGAATACAGCTATAGAGAACTACATACTGAGCAGACTGGTATGAATACAAACTTATAGGAACCCCTTCTCCATTGGGCCTTCAACACTGCTGTCAATCCCTCTACTTGTCTTTCTCCTTGTCTTTAGTGACTGTTTCAAACCTTTACCTCTCTACATGGTTTTTATTTGATCTCTATGTCCCTATGAGTTGGAACTGACTCCAAGGCACCTAACAATAACATGTCCCTTATTCTAATTAAACAAGACAAAAAGACTCAGATATTTTTGTCAATTATTCTTGCTCTCCAACATATTTTTATTTTTTTAAATAAAACATAATTCTTTTTTTGGAATAAAAATACACTCAGGTGTACAGAATTCAAAAGCTAAAACAGTAAACGGTAAAAAAAAGTCTATCTGTATCCTCTCGTTGTTGTTAGGTGTCATCGAGTCGATTTCATCTCATAGGGATTCCATGTGACAGAGCAGAACTGCCCCATAGGGTGTTCTAAGCTATAATCTTTAAAAGAGCTGATGGCCAGGTCCTTCTCCCACAGAACTGCTGGGTGGGCTCGAACCACTGATTGGCCAATCTTTCAGTTAGCAGCCAAGCATTTAACCGTTGCATCACCAGGGCTCCTTCTCTGTATCCTAGGCTTCTAAATTAGTATACTCTTCTTCTCTTTGGCTTTCCTTGACTACTACATCTAAGTAGGTCTACCTACCCTCCCGACTCCACCTACACATTCTTCATCACTGCACAAGGTATTTGCAATAATATATTTACTTACTTTACTATCTCTCCCTCATTACAGTACAAGCTCCATAAGTTTAGGGACTATGCTCATTTTATTTACCAATACACACCTAGTGACTAGCACATTGTAGATACTAGTAAGTGTTTAAGAATGAATGAATTCTTAGTTATCTAGCGCTGCTATAACAGAAACACCAAAAGTGGATGGCTTTAACAAACAGATTTATTCTCTCACAATCTAGTAGCCTAGAAGTCCAAATTCAGGGTGCCAGCTCTAGGGGAAGGCTTTCTCTCCCTGTCGGTTCTGGGGGAAGGTCCTTGCCATCAATCTTCTCCTGGCCGAGGAGTTTCTCAGCCTAGGAACCCGGCGTCCAAAGGACATGCTCTGCCTCCCAGCACTGCTTTCTTGATGGTATGAGGTCCCCATGTCTCTCTGCTCAATTCTCTCTTTTATATCTCAAAAAAGATTGGTTTAAGACACAACCTAATCTTGCGGATTGAGTCCTGCCTTATTAACATAACTACCTCTAATCCTGCCTCATTTAACATCATAGACATAGGATTTACAACACGTAGGAAAATCACATCAGATGACAAAATGGTAGACAATCACACAATACTGGGAATTATGGCTTAGTCAAAAACCAAAAAAACCAAACTCGCTGCCGTTGAGTAGATTCTGACTCATAGCGACCCTATAGGACAGAGTAGAACTGTCCCATAGGGTTTCCAAGGAGCGGCTGGTGGATTTGAACTGCTGACCCTTTGGTTAGCAGACAAATGCTTAACCACAGTGTTACCGGGGCTCCATGACCTAGCTAGGCTGACACATATTTCTGGGGAACACAATTCAATCCACGACAAATTCACTGCCCAATACAATGCTAGTTGATTCGTATACAATATTTCATATAATTCTCACAGTGACAAAGGTAGTGACATTGTTTTAGTTTTGCAAATCTCTTTAATGTCTAACTTAACAGAAGACAGCCAGATTCTCGTAGCTGCTTCTACATTCAGTCTGCTGCAATATATCATTTTGGTTGATGTGTATGAGGACATTCCAGCATTACAGACATATAAACGGAAAAGAGAGGAGGATTTGATTAGTCTTTTCAGAAAGTACTGGGTATTTTTCTCTGATTCCACACTAAAACTTGAAAAGTGATAATTTCTCAAAGGTTAGCTGCAATGTGGATCTGAAACCATATCAATGAACTTTTTTCATATTAAAATCTGTTGCACTCTGAATGTATCTTTTACCCATATATGATTTTGACCTAAGAATCTCCTAAAAGAGTCTCAGGAGACTCTGCTGATGTAAGGGTTTGTTTTAAGACTTACACCAGTTTAAGATACAAAAGGGATAGTGAATCAAGTGTAGGTGGAGGGTTCAGACTTGAAGAAAACCAAAAAACCCCACTGCCATCGAGTCGACTCTGACTCATAGTGACAGGACGAGGTCTATTCCTGAAATCAGAAAGAGGGAAACAGGTTTGGATACAGAGATATGTGAAGGGAAAGGGAGAGTTCCCACACAATGCTACTTTCTCTGTGAAGCAGGAGTTGAGGTCATCTATGGCTATGTAAAAAAATTGCCCAAACACCTTGAAGGCCACCGGGTAAATGGCTACTATTCCTCTGAGCCCAACTCAAAAGGCATTACTGGCTCTCCCTGACAGTCATACATTTTGCTCTAAATGTCATCCAGTAATTCTTCTATTATAACAATTACTATATTTTATTGTTTATGTATATGCCTTCTCTGATAGACTCTGTGCTCTCCTGGGCAGGGACCTAACCATATTCATCTTTAGCAACTACTCAAAACATTTGTGTTGAATGAGAGGAAGACTGAATATTTTTCAAGAAATTGTGTATGCTTATAGATTCTGCAGTTGTGTTACTCAAGTTATTTTTTCCTACTTATACAGATTTCTTTCCACAGTAAGAAGTATAAAGTTGATTTACACAGTTAATAAAGGTTGAACTGCTTAATAATCCTAAAAGCTAGAACTAAAATGCAGGGAATTGAGAATAGAAATAGGCTACTGTAAGGCCATCGGGGCAGTGGTGGTTCAATGGTAGAACTTCCATGCGGGAGACCCAGCCAAAGCACCTCATGCCATCACCCATCTGTCAGTGGAGGCTTGAGAGTTGCAAAGATGCTAAACAGGTTTCAGCGGAGCTTCCAGACTACAGTGGACTAGGAAGAAAGGCACGGCAATGTACTGAAAATCAGTGAATGAAAACCCAATGGATAACAATAGTCAGACTGTTAGAACCCCAGCCCATGCAACCTTCCCTATCATGGGGAGGTGCAGGACTGGGCAGCATTTCATCCCGTTGCACACTGAGTCACTATGAGTTGGGGCTAACTCGATGGCAGCTAACGACCACAATATCATGAGGCCAGAAGAATAAATTCTGTAGCTCTCCTACAGCCAAATTTCTAGGAGAGGTGGTAGTGACGGCCTTTTGACAACTCTTCCACAAATAAATGCCCAGAAGTTCTAAATCTTAGAATTTAAAATGTACGTTAGGCATACATTTATACACCACTCCCAACCAGGTATTTGTAAGAACATACACCAAAATATTAACAGTGGTTATCTCTCGATGAGGTTCCCTGGGTGATGCAAGCAGCTTACATTTGACTACTAACCAAAAGGTTGGCAATTCGATCCCACCCAGAGGTGCTGTAGAAGAAAGATCTGGTGATCTGCTTCCATTAAGATTATATCCAAGATAACCCTATGGAGAAGTTCTACTCTGTAACACATGGGGTTGCTATGAGTCAAGATCAACTCAACAGTGATGGATTTGTTTGTTTTTTAAATCTCTTGATGGTAATTTTAATGGGTGGTTTCATTTTTGCTCGCCTGGATTTTCAACAATGAAAATTGATTATTTGTGCAAACATCTTATTTAAAAAACATAACCTCTTCAAGTTGTTCAAGGTTTCACTTTAATGCACTCTTAGAATTTACAGAGGTGGAACAGGAAATATCGCTTACAAACAAATAAGTAAGTAAGTAACTCACTCCATGACTATTTTCTCATATCATTAATTCCCATGGTATAGAAAAACCATTCATATTTTCAAATAAGACAACTCAGACATGCACACATGGCGAGGTGGCATTTGAGAAGCATCTGCTTCTAGAGCCCAATGGGTTCTTGTCAAATGAATTAATAGAGTTTTAAGACTGTGCTTCATTAGCACTCTGATCAGAAGGTGAGAGGGTAGAGGGGAGGAGAGAAGATGGGCTTTGAGACTGCATGGGTTTGGGTTCTAATCTCAGCTCTTCCACAAACCAACTGTGACCAGGGATAATAACTCCATTTCTCTAGACCCTGGTTTCTTTAACTGAAAAACAGCGATAGTAATACCTAACGCAAGAGTTGCCATAAAATTTAAAATCAACAAATGAAAAGACGTAATCATAGCATACAATAGCTAATCAAAAAAATATATATATTAAACTTGTTGCTCTTAGTTGATTCTGACTCATAGCAACCCTATAGGGCAGAGTAGAAGTGTCCCATGGGGCTTCTTTCAAGGCTATAAATCTTTCTGGAAGCACACTGCCACATCTTTCTCCTGCACAATGGTTCGTGGGTTCAAATAACCAACTGCTCCACCAGGGCTCCTTTAAAATATATATATATATATATATATATAGCTATTATTATTTTCTGACAAGTTATTCTTAAATCACTTTTTTAATGAAATGTACAGAACTGTATTTAACCTGCATTTTCAAAATATTGGTGAGGGGCTATCAAGAGAGTAGAAATTAGAGACTTGAGAATATAGCTAAGCTTTTCAGATGGTGGCAATCTTATTTATCAAGCTCAGTACTTTTAATATATGTATAATCCTTCTAAAATACATTCTTTACTTCCATGCCTTTGTAAGCAAAATATACCAGATAAATAACCCTTACTTTCAGACAATTCAACTTATCATTATGAACAAAAGCTGGTGATGCCTTCTGGACCTATTAAATTATATAGGGCTGCCCTTAAACATATATTCATAAATTATAACACAGCTTTCTCGAACATGATCTAACTCAATGGGAAGTGCTTTAAAACTCTTTAGATGTATTAAAAATATCATTAATTCATTAAATATTTACTATTTGTGCCAGACATTGTTCCAGGTCCTGGAGATTAAGTATTAGGCAAATTAGACCAAACATACATGAACTTGTGGAGCTTATATTCTAATTGAAGAAGACAGAAAATAAGCAAATAAATAAAATCTAAAATATGTTTATGAGGGCAGTGGGGTTCAGTGGTAGAATTCTTGCTTTCCACGCAGGAAATGTGGGTTCAATTCCCGCCAACGTACCTCAAGCCCAGCCACTGTCTGTCTGTCAGTGGCTGTTCGCATGCTGCTAATGCTGCTATGATGCTGAGCAAGTTTCAGCAGAGCTTCCAGCCTAAGATGGACTAGGAAGAAATGCCTGACTAACTACTTCTGAAAATGAGCGAATGAAAACTCTATGGATGACAACAGTCTGGTCCATTGAGCATGGGGTCACCGTGAGTCAGGGGCTGACTTGAGGGCAGCTAACAATGGCAACAAATAATACATTCGATGGTGCCAAGGGCATTGGAAAAAAATAAACAGAGACCAGACTGTAATTTTAAATAAGGTGGTCACAGCAGGTCTCAATAAGAAGGTGCCCTTTGATCAATGGTTTGGAGGAAATGAGAAAGTCAGCCTGCAGGATATCTGGGAGAAAAGTGTTCTGGGCAGAAGAAATAATAAATGCAAAGGCCCAAGCAGGCCCTTTGAGAAATAGCAAGAAGACAATGAGGCTGCAAGTGGGGAGCAGGAGGGTGGCAGATGAGGTTAGTGAAGTAAGGGGCCAGGTCTCCAGATCTCATTTTATTGACTGTGGTTTATCCTCTGAGTGAGATAAGAAGACAGATGAGGTTATGAGAAGAGGTGAGACATCCTCCATAATCATGTCTTAAAAGACACTGGGGCTGCTGCTGAGAATAAACTATATTAGATCAAAGGCAGAGAAGCAAGAAGAGATTATTAGACTACACCAACAATCCAGGTGGGAGATGCCAGAGGTCTGGGCTAGGGTAGTAGAAGAGAAGGTGCAAAGTCCTTGGAGGATGAATCTATTTTGAAGTAGAGCCAACAGAATCCTATGTGCTGATGTGGAGGGTGAGAGGATGGTACAAGGTTTTTGGCATGAACAACAGTTTCCTGCCATTTACTGAGATGGAGGAGAGACTGTGTGGAAGGCGCAAGCTTGGCCGAGAAGATCAGGAGCTCTGTTTAGACAGGTAGAGAGCAAAATCAAATATTTAGCATCAAAACAGGAGAATAAAAAAAAAAATTCCAACTTTCTGACAGTCGTCTTCAAGAATTATCCCTAGAAAGGGGAAAAGCAGAATTTAATATCCTCTGCTGTTAGGAATCCTTGAGCAGTGGGCAAATAACGTTTTTGAGGCACTAATACAGCTATTCCCATTCCAAATGGCTGATGTGCCTTCTCGGGTTTTCAAGGTTTGCTTTTTATCCCTTTGTCTCCTCTCTTGCTTCCAGGTTGTCAGGTACACTTTTCCTATGTGATAATGTACTTACCTGTTACTTACAACTCCTCTTCACTTTCTAATGTCCTGGAAGCTTGGAAACTGGAGAAAATAAGCTAATCAGAATCGTGTGGAGGCTGTGAATGCCTCCCACTCCACGATCATCTCTGCCGGTGCTGACCTTACTTCCTGATTCTTAAGAAACAAGATTTCACTTTGTAAACGGGTTCAGGGAACAAACAGCCAGAGAGTCGAGAAACTTGAGGCGAGATAAGACTGCGCCACTGAATAGCTGGGTGACGCCTCTCTGTGCCTCAGCTTCCTCCAAGTCGGACTAACTTTTGGATCTCGATGGACCCACTCCAGGTCTTGATTCAGACCATGCAACCTACTTCCTAACTTTTCTCACTTTGAAGACAAGACTGAAAGAGATTTGCGACCCGAAACGGTCATCCGACAAGCCTAGAGCAGAAAGGAGGCCGGGACGCGGACCTTGGACAACCTCTGGGTAGAGGAGGCGCTGACCGCGGCAATGTCTTACCTGTTCGGGGCGTGGGGCCCTGGATGCGGGCGCGGCGCCTCACGGCGGAGCCAGCGGCCGAGGAACACTAGCCGTGGAAAGCAGCGGGGCGGGGCCCGGGGCGGGCACAACCCGTCAGGCCCCGCCCCGGGCCCTGCCCGTTCCAGGCCCTGCTTCTTCCTCTCTGCACTTTCAGACTACGACTCTACCAAGAACTTTTGGTTAAGGCGCTTCTTCACATGGGAGCCTGCGCCTTTAAATACTCCCCGGTCGGAGGGTAAATATATGAGGATTCCGGACATGCGCACAGCGTTGCGCGGAGACTTAAACCTCCTGGAAGCGAGGTAGACTGGGCCTTGCGCGTTGCTTTTTCCACGATGTGGGGGTTGTGTTTGGGAAGATGACAAAGTTTGCTTTGGTTATTCCAAACCTTTGCCCCCAAGACGAAGGCGACGTGGGCCAGTGACACACCAGAGGGTGGGGGGGAGTGAAGAAGCAAGTGGAGCCCCTGGTTGTGTCTGTGGACTCCTCAGAGAAGAGCGGGACGGCAACACAGGTTTTAGTTCTGCTTCTCTGGGAACCAGTTCGACAGATCTTGGAAGTTGGGAAGGAAGAGCATGGGGGAAGAGAGCTCTCGCCTTCATTTCTGCTACCTTCTCAGGATCCCTCCTCAACTAGTAATTCCCCAAACTAACCTCCACCTCTACACCCTGCACGCTCATCAGATGCAAACCCTGTTGCTTAGGAACCTTGCACATTTATACTTAACTCCACATGGGCTCCTTGGCTGCCCTCCAGTTCGGTTCCAAACCTTTTAACGCTTTCCAAACTCCCACCTCCAAACCTTCTCACATACCTGCCCTACTTCGATCTCTGCATCTGCCCACTCTTTTACCAAGATGCTTGCTTGGTTGGAATTCCTTCGTTGTTACCACCCCGTCCCCTGGCTCCCCCCACCCCTCACCCCCAACTTGCTCTACCTATTCCACTAGTTTAAAATGTCTTCGTGTCTTCCTTTTTCTGGGGAAAGTGAAGATCATTATTCTTTCCAAGGCCAATTTTTGCAGCTCTGCTCTTGATCACATCACTTCTCAATCCCTGTTCCATCAGATGCATCCTGATTAGTGCCATCAGAGTCTTACTAAATCATGTTTTGGATTATGTCATTCTACTAAGACATCTCCAGTTACCATCTATTGGTCACCCAGTGGATTCTAAGTCCCTGGCAGGGCATTCGGTGTCTTCCATAGTCTGACTCTAGCTGTATTTTCCAGAACTGTACTAGAACCAACCCCCCCTTCTCTGTATCTGAGCTGTTTATTTCTAACACATTGCATCTTTTTGTACATTATTTAATAATATTCTGTCTGCTTCATTTCTATCTCTTGAACCCTTTTGAGGCCACACTTAGATGGCCACTGCTTGCATTATGCTTTTCCTTATTATCACACGCAAAAGTGGTTTCTTCTTTCCTCCCCTTCACACTTACAGCTCTTATTTTGTTCATTCATTCATTCAGTAGTCAGTATTGATTGTGTGCCTAATATGTACTTGACACTGTTCTGAAATGTGGGGTAATCAGTGGTGAATAAGACAGACAAGATTCCTACTCTCATAGAACTAACATTTTATTGAAACAGAATGTAAATAACAAAGAAAACAGTAAATAAAAAAACTGTAGAGAAAGTTAAATAAGGCTTTGTGAAGAGAGTGACTTGCTAGTTTCTTTAGCTTATTGGTCAGGAAGACCTCTCTGAGGATCTGATTACTAAAAGGTGCAGCTATATAATTGGGGAAGGAACAATTTAAGCTGCAGGAACAGTTAGTGCAAAGGACTGAAGAAGGCCAGTATAGTTGGAGTGTAGTGGATAATGGGGATAGGGTACAAGATGCTTTTGGAGAATAGATAGGGTCCGGAATCATAGTCTTTGGAAGTCAGGGTAAGGAATTTGGATTTTATCATAAACGTGATTAGAATGTTTTAAACGGTTCTGATATGATTTAATTTACCTTTAAAGATATTCTGGCTGCTTTCTGGAGAATGGACTATAGTGAGTTAGCAGTGGAAGCAGTGATTAGAGGCCTTCACAATGTCTAAGAATTTCTGGAATGAAAGTATTAAGTAGGGCTGATGGAAAGGAGTGATCAGAGAGCCAGATGCTTAAAGTTGATGTTTTATAAGTTGCATTTTATGGAGATGAGAAAGTCAAGGGTATGACCATGGGAGGGGATGACTGAGATGAAGTGGACCTGGGAGGTTGAGGAACTGAGGGACCACGATGTTGAATGGAAGATGCATGTGGATGATCACGGAAGTCATGCTGGATGTGAAGATAGTAAGCCAGATGTTAAGGTCATCAGTGAATGAAGAGAAGTCCTCAGGCGATCAGAGTGAAGATGATGGCAGATGGTAAAGCTTGATGGCGTGAACTTCAAAGGCACTGGGAATTTTGAAGGTAGAGGAGAAAGAAATGGTTTGGAAGGAGCAGTGGGAAACAGAAAATACTTATGACCTCGAGACCTGAGGCATGTGGTGTGTGAAAGGAAAAATAGCCTTCACTTGTGAGGACTGCAGAAGTAGTAGTCTGGGGAAATAGCCAGGTTTCAATTAGGGCAAGAAACTGAAGGGAATGTGCAGGAAATTAAGGAATTAAGGAAATATTCTTGTATATTCCCTAGGAAATTAGGATATAGAAAATTTACTGATTTCTACATGGCACAGTGGAAAGGATTGAGAAGAGGAGGCTGGTAAATTGGTTCACATTAGTAGAATATGTTGTGTAAATGGGGATGAAGGTCCTGATGATAATAAATTTCCTAGAATGTGTGGCTTTCTGATGATCTGAGTGGTATGGGGCCCTGGGAAACTGATCTTTTCCACAGGTCCATGTGGTATGGTAGCCATGGTTTGTGTAAAGAGTAAGTAAAGTTTTCCTCAGAGGACTATTCTCTTTTGTACTGCTCCCACAAAGTTCTTTAAGGGGTCTCTTTTCTCTGATGACGAAGAGATGATGGTTGGAAATCTCCTCGGGGTCAACTTCACAAGTTTGTGTCTGTCCTAATGGGGGCTTTAGAGAAGGCTTACGGTTCAGGACTAAATGAGGTCTACCTTAGAGCATAATCAGATACCAAGCTGGTGTTTAGAACCGCATTTATATAACAGTTTAGACTATTTCTTTCTATCTTCTCCTTGTCCCCTCTCCTGTCCCTGCCCCCCAGTATATAAAACTCTAGTCCTAAGTTCTCTGAAATTAGTGAAATTTTCGACTCTACAGGTGGAGTTTGGACAAATCATTGTAAACAGTTCTATGTTCTAGTCTCTTTGTGTGGTCCTACAAATAGTATTTTTAAGGTAAGCTTGAAACTGACCCATTTAAAATCCAGATAATAGATGGAAGTCTGGGGTAGATGAAGAGTCAACTTACAAGTTATATCAGAAAATGTTTGCCTGTGCATTCATCTTAGTATGTGAGAGTCAAAGAACACATGATATATAGTCATAAATTATTAATGTTATTTAAGAGAACTCAAGATTGAAGGGGACAAAGAGTATTAAATAAATCCAGCAAACCTATTCCTTTTTTGTTTGTTTGTTTTCCACAACTTCTCTTTCTGATAACTGACTGCCTCTTTGTTTCTTTTGTAGGCATTATTACTTAAGAATGGAAGAGGATACAGATTATGGAAACAGGTTCAGTTCTTTGTGTTACATTAATGATCATGTTGGATTTCTTGGCACTATAAAAAGCTCACCAAGTGACTTTGTTGTTATTGAGATTGATGAGCAGGGACAGTTAGTTAATAAAACCACTGATGAACATCTTTACAAGATTAATAACATACTACCTGAGCCAAATAATTTTGCCAAAAAAACAAAACTAGATCTTCAAAATTTGTCCTTTGAAGGTGGGCATAACCAAGAACTTGGTACTTTAAGTAGGTGTTCCAATGGTGACCATAATCATCAGTCTACTTCAGAAAGTGAAGCTACTATCGATGATGGAACTTCCAAATGTGAAGAAGAAACAGCTGATGTGTTAGGCTCCGTATTAGATAAAAAAACTAATGAATTACTGAATCAGTTTGCCTATAATATAAAAGAGAAGTGGAATTCTGAAACTGAGCTAGTGGGACCATCTCCTGAATTGTCATTAGGCAGAATCCTTGACAAAAACCAGAGGGCCAGTTTACATAGTGCTATTCGGCAGAAATTTCCTTATTTAATAACTGTAGGAAAAAAGAGCGAAATTGTTGTAAAACCAAATTTTGAGTATAAAGAACTCTGTCACCTGGTATCTGAAGAAGAAGCATTTGACTTTTTTAAGTATTTGGATGCAAAGAAAGAAAATTCCAAATTTACCTTTAAACCTGATGCAAACAAAGACCACAGAAAAGCTGTTCATCATTTTGTCAACAAGAAGTTTGGAAACCTTGTGGAAACCAAATCTTTTTCAGAACTGAATTACAGTGCTGATAATCCAAACGTAGTGATAACAGTTAAGTTTCGTGAAAAAGCATACAAGCACAGGAAAAGGTCTCATCTTGAATGCCAAGAAAGAAAAGTTATATATACAGGTAATTTAATAAATCAGCATCATTTTCTTGAATAAACTTAAAATTGTATGAAAGTTGAATAATTTAAAATGAATTGAATAGACCTGGCCAAAGTGATATTTGAAAATAATATATGGGTCTGTTATTTAATGGAAGATAAAACCTTTCAAATTATACTAAATGTAAAAAATAGCTGTACTGATGAAGGTATGGTTAACACAGAGATATATAGTTAACATATTTACAAATATACAGTATAAAGTTGAAGTAGTTTTTTTGGTGTCTAATAAGCTTTTTTGGAGGTTAATTTCATGTTTTAAAAGTCGTCTTAAAATAAGTATTTGGAAATAAACAGAATATGTATGCTATGCTTGGAAAAGTAAAGCGAATATCTTGTAATCCAAAACAATTAAACTTCCCTACCTAAGGTAAGGCATGAACCTGAAAACTTTTACAGAGCACACCTTGATTTGGCTGGGTCAGTCTTTTAGAAGAAACGTTCTCAAAGTTCAGGCATTATAGTCATCCAAAGAGCTTATTAAAACACAAATTTCTGAGCCCCATTCCCAGAGCTTCTGATTCAGAAGGTTTGGGGTGGTGCCTTAACAAATTCCTGGGTGATACTTCTGCTAATGTAGGGACCATATTTTGGGAACTATTGTTTTAGAGGATATATATTCAATTCCTGAGATGGAATAGTACTAGTGAGATCTCACTCTACAAGTCTGGCTGATCAGATTTAATTGGCTTATATCCTACTTGAAGGATGGGAAATGTTTACTCTCGGGCTGGGGCAGTTCACCTCTGACACATGGGGTCTCTATGGGTCAAAATCTACTTGATGGCACCTAACAACAACAACAGCATATAATTGCTGCGTTAACATGATTCTTCTGTGGTCTGTCCTGAGCGCTCTTGCTATTTAATTAGGCCTCTCACCTCTGGCTGGTTCCCAGCCCTATATAATCTCTAATAACCTCTGGCAGGTTACAGGCACCCAGTAGTTCTTTGTTCAGCTTGGTAGAGTGTGGTAGCTAGCATCCAAATGGGCCTCAATGATCCTTGACTTCTGGTACTCATACCCTTTGTTTTCCCTACCCACATTGAATCAGGGTCAGCCTGTGTTACCAGTAGAATATGGCAGATGGTGTGTGACTTCTGAGGCTAGGTTACAAAAAGCATTTCATATCACTCCTCCAAGGGAAGCAAGCCACTAAACCTTGAAAATACTCAAGAACCCTGTGGAGAGAAACTGAGGCCTACCACCAACAGCCAGTACCAACTTCCAAGCCACCTTGGAAATAGGTCTTCTAGCTTCAGCTGATATTTATTGCAACTTTGTAGTAGTCCTCCATCCAGAACTGTCCAACTCCTGAATTCCTTACTCATAGAAACTGTGTGGGATAGCACATGATTGTTGTTTTAGGCCACTAAGATTTAGGGTGATTTATTGTGCAGCATTAGGTAACTAATAGAGATTTTGGTACCAGAAATTGCTTGCTGCTGTAACCAAAGCCTAAAACCTGTGGTTGCAATGCCTTTGGGACCAGTTGGTAGACGAAATTTTGCAGGGACCTCAACAAAGCTGTCAATGAGGATTTAAAGAAAAGTGAGGATATTGCTGAAACAGATGAAAGGGATCTTGTTACATAGTGGCATAAAGTTTAGCAGTACTGTTGCCTGAAGTAAAATGGAAAGTAGAAAATTTATCTAATAAGTAGGTACTCTAATGGAGGTTTCCAGGCAAACTTGATATTGCCACCTAGCTTCTTACTACTTAAAGTGAAATTCTAAAAGAAAAACTGTTAGATATAAAAGGTGTGGCTGGGTTTGAAAATACCTTTTTTTTAATTTTTATTTTAATTCCCATCTTTTCCAGATGGCACATGGTGCTTTGTTGGTTTGTAGGCAAAGAGAATATCCATGGTAAGGTCAGGACAACATGCTGTAATGAGGAGATCTAGGGTGTGATTGTAAAATCCTTTGTAAAATTTCAGAATGATCCATAACAGCACCTCAGAGAATGGCTTATACAGACAAAAGGCCCTCTAGGGATGACTCACAGATCCTCTGTGTTAAACCGTAGTTCTTCTAAGAATCTTAGGGACATTTTCCCTCAGTAGAAGCCCCAAATAGGGAAGGTCTTATGTTGACAAAATTTCTGACTGTATTTTTTGTCTAATGGAGTGAACTCATGGAACATTCACACAGTTTTTGAAAGCAGCAAAGACAGTACAAATAGGGTTGGACCTTCAAACTTTTAAAGGCAGGAATTAGGCTGAGAAGGAATTTTAAAGAACTGCTAAAAGAAGTGAATGAAAGGAGCTGTCTTTATATTTTCAGTGTACTTTAACCAAATGGATTTGAATATAAACCTCTGATTCCAAAGCAATTGTTTATATCAGCTGTCTGAAATAAAATACCCACATTTAAAATGTACAAAAACAATAACTTCATGATAGGATTATTACGGAGTTTAAGTAAAATAACTATAAGATGTGGCCAAAGTCAAAGCACAGAGAAATTTCAAAATATCAAATATTTTCATATCTATAAGATATTGGGGCTCATTTCACAAGGAGCCCTGGTGGTGCAGTAGTTAAGCACTTGACTGCTAACCTAAAAGTCAGCGGTTTGAACCCACGAGCAGCTCCCTGGGAGAAAGCTGTGGCAGTCAGCTTCCATAAAGATTACAGCCTTGTATACCCTATGAGGCAGTTCTACTCTGTCATACAGGGTCACTATGAGTTAGAGACAACTCGACGGCAGTGGGTTTGGTTTTGGGTTTGGTATCATTTCAGGAGGTCCATAATGTCTTCCTTTTTTCCAACAACATATCTGTGTGAGGCTGGATTTTGTTCATAATTTTCAACCAAAACAAGAAATTACAATAGATTGAATGGAGAAACATGAGAATCCATCTGACTTCTGTTAAGTCAGACATTAAAAAGATTTGCAAAACTGTAAAACAATATGACTTTTCTCACTAATTTTTAATTGAAGACTATGGCTGTTTTTCATGAAAATGTATTTATATTCATACGTAATGAGTTAAATGAATTGATACATATTTTTTAATTTCTCAGTTTTCATTGTATGTTAAATACCGATAGATAATATATACACACATACACAAAAGCTGTTTAGGGTCTACAGTAATTTATGAATTATGCTTATTTGGGGTCCTGAAACCAAGACGTTTGAGAACTAATTAGGAAAAAAGGCTTAGGGATCTACTTCTGAAAATTAGCCAATGAAAACCCTATGGATCACAGCAGAATATTGTCTGATATCGTGCTGGAGATGAGCCCCTAGGTTGATGAGCAATCACTGAAAATACACAATGGCTGCAACAGTGGACTCAGGATACCAATGACAGTGAAGATTGTGCAGGACTGGGCAAAGTTTTGTTCTGTTATACTTGGGGCTGCCATGAGTCAGAGCCGACTCAATGGCAACTAACAATAACAAGTGATAAGTGGAGGGCATACATATTTCAGACAGAGGGACTAAAATGTGCAAAGATAAGCGGTGGGAGACTAGTCCATCCAGGGATTATGAGAAATTTTCTGTGTCAGGGTTATAGGATATATGAATGAAAGTGGCCCAAGCAGAGGCTGGAATGGTGGATTAGGTCCCAACAGCAAGGGAATTTGAATGTCAAATTAAGGAATTTGGATTTTTTTTCTGTAAACCTTTGATGAGTGACTTGTGTTTTTCAAATAGCTAAAATCTATGAAGCTGATTTCTATTTTGATTCAAAAATACTCTTTATACTTTCTTTAAATTAATGATTTGATTCATTATACTAATCTGTTAGACTGCTGAAAATGTAATTGATGTATGGTAGCTTTTTTGTGTATAATCTAGGATGATTTTTGTTTCAGCTTTCACCCTGCGAAAAGAGAATCTGGAAATGTTTGAGGCAGTTGGTTTTTTAGCTATCCAACTTGGTGTGATTCCTTCAGATTTCAGTTATGCAGGCCTTAAAGACAAGAAAGCCATCACCTATCAAGCAATGGTTGTTAGAAAAGTGACTCCAGAGAGGTAATAAAACATTGTGTTACAAGATAGAATTTTACTTTTCATATTGTATCAAAGAAATACATTAAGAACCCAGAATAATCTGAGAGCATACAAACCTCACTACTGTATTAATATTAATTGATTACAGGCTTAATGAGCTGCACATTTTGCATTTATAATGTAGTTACCTTCTAAATAGAGTTATGCCTTGAATTTACATTAAAAATATGGGCAGTTTCAGAATAGAAACTTTAAGAAGTAGCAGAATTTAAATTATCAAATCTATCTTGGAAGAAGTGCCACCAGAATGCTTCCTGGAAGCAAGGATGGTGAGACTGCGTCTCATATACTTTGGCCATGTTGTCAGGAAGGAGCATTCCCAGGAGAAGGATATCATGCTTGGTAAAGTAGAGGGTCAGCAAAAAAGAGGAAGACCCTCAATGAGATTGATTGACACAGTGGCTGCAACAATGGGCTTAAGCATAGCAACGATTGTGAGGATGATGCAGGACTGGGAACTGTTTCGTTCTGTTGTACATGGGGTTGCTATGGACATAGGGTTGGAATCAACTCAATGGCACCTAACAACAACAGCAAGTTGGGTATAACATCTCATATTATATTGAGATAAATATTTTTATTTAGGATAGTGTCTTATAAATAATTTTCTATCTAATCATATAATTTTTTACCTTTATTTTCTTGGTTTCCTACAATTTAAAAGAAATCCTTATTAAGTAGAATGTAAAGTACACAGATTTAGCCTGCTTTCTCAGCTCACTCAGAATTCTGAAGTATTTTTTTATAATTGTAAAAGTAATACAAGTTCATTGTGGAAAATTTAGAAAATAGAAAAAATTCTAAAAAAGAAAAGTCACTAATAATTCTACTACTAAGAAATAGCTGTGATAATATTTTGATCTATTTCCTTCTAGACTTTTTTCAGAGACTACACTGCACATACATACATCCAGCAAAGACATATTTATATATCATACTGTATATGTAGTCTATATTTTACTTAAAATTTTGTAACTTTACTTTTTTAAGGGAAATAAATATTTTATGAAAATTTGTTTATGTCATGAAATCTTTCAAAATCATGTTTTTTAAAAATTTTTTTTTTATTGTGCTTTAGGTGAAAGTTTATAGAACAAATTAGTTTCTCATTAAACAGTGTACAAATTATTTTGTGACATTGGTTGCCAACCCCGCAATGTGTCAGCACTCTCCCCTTCTTGACCTTGGGCTCCCCATTTCCATTCATCCAGCTTTCCTATCCCCTCGTGCCTTCTCATCCTTGCCCCTGGACTAGTGTGCCCATTTAGTCTCGTATACATGGTTGAACGATGCGTGTTATTGTTTGTTTTATAGGCCTGTCTAATCTCTGGCCGAGGGGTGAACCTCAGGAGTGATTTCAGTACTGAGTTAAAAGGGAGTCCAGGGGCCATACTCTCGGGGTTTCTCCAGTCTCTGTCAGACCAGTAAGTCTGGGCTTTTTTTGTGAGTTAGAATTTTGTTCTACATTTTTCTCCAGCTCTGTCCGGGACCTTCTGTTGTGATCCCTGTCAGAGCAGTCAGTGGTGGTAGCTGGGCCCCATCTAGTTGTGCTGAACTCAGTTTGGTGGAGGCTGTGGTAGTTATGGTCCATTAGTCTATCTGTTCTCACCTACGTACACACCTGTACCCACCTGTATACGAGTATGACGGTAGCCATCCATACGTGCTCAAACACTCGTTTTTATTTTGGTTGTGCTGTGCTCACTACATCCACATCCGGTGCCACTTTTCCCATTACCAAAAAAAAAAAAAAAACAAGTCTTTGTGATCTGAAACGTACTTTCCCCTCCCCCACTCCTCTCCCTGGTAACCACTAATGAACATTGGTCTGTCTATATTTATCTATTCTTGTCTTCTTAAAAAGAGGGATCATACAGTATTTGTCCTTATATGCTTGACTTATTTCACTTAACATTATGCCCTCCAGGTCCATCCATGTTATAATATGTTTCATGGACTCATCATTGTTCTTTATGGTTGCATAATATTCCATTGTATGTATGTACCACAATTTGCTTATACATTCATCTCGTTTCCATTTATTTGCTATTGTGAATAAAGCAGCAATGAACATAGGTGTTCATGTCTGTTCGTGCCACTATTTTTAGGTCTCTAGAGTATATATGTAGGAGTGGGATTGTTGGATCATAGGGTAGGTCTGTTTCTAGTTTTTTGAGAAAGCGCCATACTATTTTCCATAGTGGTTGTACCATTTTACTGTCTCACCAGCAATGGACAAGAGTTCCAATCTCCCTACATCCTTGCCAACATTTTTTGTTGTCTGTTTTCTTTTTTTTTTTAAATCAATGCCATTTTACCTGTAGTAAGATGGTATCTCATTAGTTTTGATTTGCCTCTCTCTAATGGCTGATGATCATGAACATCTTTCCATATGTTTGTTGGCTGCTTGGATGTCTCTTTGGTGAAGGGTCTGTTCATGTCCTTTGCCCATTTTGTGATTGGGTTATTTGTCTTTTTGTTGTTGAGTTGTTGCAGTTTTCTACACACTTTAGGGATTAGACCCTTATCAGATAAGTTGTTTCTGAAGATTTTTTCCCACTCTGTAGGTTGTCTATTTTTTTAATAAAGCCTTTTGATGAGCATAAGTTTTTAATTTTTATGAGGTCCCATTTAGCCAGTTTGTCTTCTATTCACGTGTTTGTTGTTAAGTTTGTTATCCTATTTTTATGAAAGATTAGGTCCCATAGTTTTCTCCTAAGAATATTATGGTTTTAGGTATAACACTTAGGTCTCTGATCCATTTTGAGTTAGTTTTTGTGTATGGTGTGAAGTATGGGGCCAGTTTCATTTTTCTGCAGGTGGATATCCAGTTTTGCCAGCACCATTTACTCAAGAGACTGTTTCTGCCCCACTGAATGGACTTTGACCCCTTGTTGAAAATCAGTTGTTCATAGATGGCTGGGTTTAATTCTGAGTTCTCAATTCTATTCCACTGGTCTGTTTGTCTATCATTGAACCAATACAAGGCTGTTATGATTACAGTGGCTGTATAGTATGTTTTGATATCAGGAGTATGAAGCCTCCTGCTTTGTTCTTTTTCTTCAGTATTGGTTTGGCTATTTGGAGTTTCTTTCCATATGAAGTTGGTCATTAGTTTTTCCATTTCAGTGAAGAATATTGTTGGGATTTGTATCGGGATTACTTTGTATCTGTAGATTGCTTTAGGTAGAATTGACATTTTCACTATATTAAATCTTCCAATCCATGAACACCAGATGACTTTCAATTTTTATAGGTCTCTTTTAGTAATGTTTTATAATTTTTATTGTATTAACTCTTTTATGTCCCTGCTTAGGTTAATTCCTAGATATTTTATTGATTTGGGGGCTATTATAAAAGGTATTATTTTGTTGATTTCTTTTTCAGAGTAGTCTTTGTTAGTGTAGAGGAACACAGCTGATCTTTTTTCCTCCCATGGAATTTTTTTTTTTTTTCCTATTGTACTTCAGGTGAAGGTTTACAGAACAAATAGGTTCTCATTAAACAGTCAGTACACATATTGTTTTATGACATTGGTTAGCAACCCCATGACATGTCAACCCTCTCCCTTCTTGACCCTTTTTTTTTTTTTGGTGAAAATATACGTAGCCAAAGATACACCATTTCAAAAATTTCTACATGCACAGTTCAGTGACATCGATTACGTTCTTCCAGTTGTGCTGCTATTCTCACTTTAGATGAAAGCTTACAAAACAAAATAGTTCTCATTAAACAGTTAGTACACATGTTGCCCTATGACAGTGCTTAACAACCTCACT